AATATATACTGTATGTAATAATATTACAAAGCCATTCACAACTCACCCCCAGGTTACATCTCCAACCTTGTCTCTAAGTATCACCCTAACCGTCCCCTACACTGCTCCCAAGACCTCCTGCTCTCTAGCTACCTTGTCAACTCCTCCCATGCACGCCTCCAGGACTTCTCCAGAGTCTCCCCCATTCTGTGGAACTCTTTACCCCAACCTGTCCGTCTATCTCCCACTCTAACTGCCTTTAGGCGATCCCTTAAGACTCATCTCTTCAGGGAAGCTTATCACACCTCAACCCACACAGCTACCTCCTCATGTATTACTTGCCCCTCCCTTTTAGATTGTAAGCCCTCAGGGGCAGGGCCCTCCTTACCATCTTGTCTTGAATTGTATTGTGCTTGTAATGTCTTCCTTATATTGTAAAGCGCTGCGCAAACTGTTGGCACTATATAAATCCTGTATAATAATAATAATAACAATATGGAAAGCAATACAAAAGTCCCTCAGTGCAAAGCTGTGCCAAGACTATTGAAGTTATGCCACCAAAGGAGGTTCCACTTTCTATGTCCTGGAATAGGCAGAATTATATTGGTGCAAGTAAGTACAAATAGTACACATAAATGGTACGCAATCTACCAGGAGGTACATTGAACCCAAGAGGATATACATCCATTGGATCTTAGATCCAACGCCTTAACCACTCGGCCATCCTGGTATATACCACTACTGCTTATTTTTGGATTTTCGTGAAAATGGGGCCAGATTCGGATAGAGGGGTAGGGTTTAGAACCCCTGTTTGGTTTTACTGCTGTCCAGGGTTCCATTGGAGATATTTCTGTCCCAGTGCGATGGTTTTACCAGACAGGAAGTGAGGAAAAATCTTAAACAGGAACATGTGCAGACAAGCAAGTAGGGATAGGGATAGGTGTTTAATTGCACCACTTTAATAGGGTACACTCGGCCATCCTGGTGCTATCCTCCAGGTCTGATCATTGAATTGACGCCTCCTCTGCATGGGTTGACCAGGCTCCATGTGTGATGGTTTAAGAAGATAGAAGATAATTGTTGCCACCGGTATAGCTGAAGAGTGTGTTAGCCTCTCTCACAACAATGAAGGGAGACAAAACTGAAAAATGCTGACCTGGGCAGTGTACGGCCATAAAAAGCTTTGTGAATGAGCTCAACAAGATTGTTGTCGACTTTACATCATTTTCTACGAAGCAATCCAAGGTAGTTGCTCTTATTGCCTCGTGTTAGAAAGGAATAGATTTTTGTTGTCCATAGTAACCACTGGGTGGTGCTTTGAAAGGTTGCGCAGTGCCCAGATCAACATTTTTCTGTGTTGGGCACTTTCATGGTTGTGAAAGGGACCAACATACTCTTTAGTTGTACCAATGGCGACATTTAGCTTTTATCTTCTTTAAGCCATCACATGCAGGGTCTGGCCAACCTAGGAGCAGAGGAGGCGACAATTCCCTTATCACAGAGTTAGGTGAGCACGAGGATTCAGAAACCCCTGAAGATAGTGCTAGGTCTTATTTTCGGGGTAGGTCTTACTTTCGGGGAAACACGGTAGGTGCGTATGCATGATCAGCACTTCAACACAAAGCTGCATTTCACTGCAAGGATACATTATATTACTATTATTGTAATTGGAGATTGTAACTATTTTAACTAATTTTTAATCATGGTTTTTTTTTACTTTCCTTACTGTGTCCAAATCTAAAAATATAACTTTGGCTTTAGACTTTAAATGTAGTTTTGCCCATAATGGGTGATTATTGTTCTGTGCCGAGAGATCGCATTATACTGTTATTTGTTTTTTTCTGCAGTGGGAAAACAATTCACAGCAGATATTAAAGGTTTCATTATTTTGGGGTTGATTAATCACTGAGGGGATTTATTCTTAATTATGTTAAATGCATTTATATATAAGGCATAAGGAAAAATACAAGAGACAGGAAGGAAGAAGAAGACAAGACATTGGCCTGTTGCATGTAAATTGTCATTTGGAAATTTGTTACGCACATTAACATTTCTTATACAAAGTAATAAAATAAACATTGACAAAGATACAAAATATCTGTGCAGGTTCCCATTCATCCAGCTCATGGTGTATCTGTAACAAACAAAACAAGGCAACGGGACTGGCTGTATTTTTCTTGAAGACATTTCGCTGGTCTTTCCGACTAGCTTCCTCAATTCAGAATTGAGATTATTATTTTACAGATAAAGATACAAAACAGGTAAATCACTGGAGAGTCCAGAGAAGGGCAGCAAAACTAATGAACGGGGCTGGAGGACCGAAGCTATGTGACCAGGTAGCAAAATGTAGAGAAATGTCCGCTCTAGAAGTGAGGAGATTTAGGGCTTGTTCACACCAAATGCAGAGCAGATCTGCTCGCGTTTCTGCACACGCACACTAGTCTTTAGACGCGTTTTTACGCGTTTTTTATTCATTTTTGATGCGTTCCAGAGCGTTGTTTTTTTTTCAGGAAGCTAACAATGCTAGGAGGTCATTTCATTTTACCTCTGACCTTTCATTAGCTGTTCTGATTATTTCCTGCTTCCTCTGACCTTGGCTCACATGTAAAATTGTTGCAGCATGGATCCGTGGGATGCAGGCATGCTCCTGGTGATGGTTATTATACTGCTACGCCAAAGTGCTGTAAGGAGACGTTTTGGGTGCAACCACTGATGAGTGAAAGAGATCCAAAGGGCCAGTTTGGGACTTTATATGCAGACCTTCGTGCACACCCCGACAAGTTTTTTTCATACACCCGCATGTCGATATCTAGGTAGGAATGTTTGCTTGTTATGTTTTTATTGTTATTTTATTGTTTATTTTTTATTGTTTTTTCCACAGACAGGAAGTGACCAAGGAAGATTAGGTCATCACAGATGACCATAGAGTTTTTTTTTCTTTATGGTTAGTTTTTTGCATTGCGCTGCGCTTTTAACACGTTTTTGACGCGTTTACATGTGTTTTAGATGCGTTCCAGAGCAGGTCCAAAGCAGGTCAAATAGAGCTTGCTGCAATTTTTTTACCTGCTCTGGACCTGCTCTGTAACGGAACGCTGCGATGTGAACTGGAGCTAAAAATACCAGTGGAATACATTGGACGCAGTTTTGATCCGGCCTGTAACTGCTTCGCTCTGCACCTGCTCCGCGCTTGGTGTGAACAAGCCTTAAGAGGGGATGTGATTGTGATGTACAAAATGTTTAATGGTGAGGGCGACATCAGCAATAAACTGTTTTAGTCTTCTTTAGGGAATTTCCAGTAGAGGCCACCACCTAAAATTGGAGGAAAAAAAGATTTAACCACGAGGGGCGGAGGGGCTTCTTGTCAATCAGAGCGGTTACATTTTGGAACTCTCTTTCACAAGCAGTGGTATCAGCAGGGAGAAATGAATCATTAAAAAAATCATTTAGATACCTTCCTCAGAGACTGTAACATACAGCGGGACAGGTACTCTTAAAGTCTGGAACACACAGAGACTCACACATTCCTGGTCATGAAGGTTGAACTCAATGGGCCGGTGTCTTTATTCAACCTCAAATACTATGTAACTATTTAACCATTCAGTTCTTGATTATAAGTCCTGCAGCAAGGCAGCCCAGCAAGCCAGCAGGTATCTCTCTCTCTCCCCACTCTCCCTCTCTCTCTCTCCCCACTCTCCTCTCTCTCTCTAGCCCTCTGCTCTCTCTCTCTCTCTCCCTCTGCTCTCTCTCTCTCCCTCTGCTCTCTCTCCTCTCTCTCTCCCTCTGCTCTCTCTCTCTCTCTCCCTCTCTCCCTCCCTCTCTCTCTCTCCCTCTGCTCTCTCTCTCCCTCTCTCTCTCTCTCTCTCCCTCTCCTCTCTCTCTCCCTCTCCTCTCTCTCTCCCTCTCCTCTCTTTCTCCCTCTGCTCTCTCTCTCTCTCCCTCCCTCTCTCTCTCTCTCTCCCTCTCTCCCGCTCAGTAAATAGTTTATATAGGTCACATGAAATTCTGTTATTACCCTTTTTTTCCTCCTTTATTACACCTCAGTGCTTCTGTACTCCTTTATTTACAGCCACTTTCTGCCTACATGCTCTCCAGTGATGGCTGCAAGGCATTGTTCAGGACGGGTTTGCTGATGGTGACAACAATGGTCCATATGTGTGTGATGTGTGTTGAAACGGCCACTTGTATTCTCCATTGGAAGCCGGTGTGACAGGGTGACAAAGTGCGACCACAGTTGGGAGACAGGGACAGAGGTTAACAAGGACCTCCATGGCAGGATCACCGGGGATTATTTTAAAGAAAGCTCCATGTAGATGTATAAATAATGAAAATTACTCATGACACGTTAAAGCTTATGTGGACATTTTTTTGTTGTGTTTTTTATATTAAATGTATCTATTTGCCTCTAAGTTTCAATAACAAATGAGCGATTTGATGTCAATTGTGGAAGGTAATGTTGAGCTACAATGAAGAGTTTATTTGTTCATAAAATGTCAAGAAGGACAAGTCAACGCATTTTAGGGCACCTAATAAACTCTTCATGGTCTCTCCAGATTTGGCTATTCTCCGTGCCACTATCATTTGATGTAGAGGGATCATAACTAATGTACTTCTGTTATGCAGGATGTCAATATCTATACCTACAAAGGAGATCTTAGAACTCACTTCAAAGCATGGAACCCCGGAACCAAACCACCTTGAAGGGATTTATTTTAACTGGGCTTTCTCAGAACCGGCAGTTCTCTATATTATTTTTTGTCACCTTGTTACCGGTCTATCTTTTTACCGCTTTCGCAAATATTTTTCTAATCATAGCTGTCGTCGTCAGCCCTAAGCTTCACCTGCCTATGTACCATCTCCTCTGCAATCTATCATTCATCGATGTGTGTTACTCATCCAGCTCTCTACCGAAAGTGTTAAGTAATGCTTTCTCTAGGAGGAGGACAATATCGGTCACTGGTTGCATGGTGCAAATGAACATCGGCACCTTCCTTGGGGGTACGGAATCTTTGCTACTGGCGGTGATGGCCTACGATCGATATGTGGCAATATGCTTACCCTTGTATTATAACCAGATCATGAACTGGAAAACCTGTAGAAACGTAATGATTATAATGTGGTCAGGAAATTTCTTCCTGTCGGTTGTCCCAATTGTTTCGAGGCCGATGGTGTTCTGTAGAGCAAACAAACTGGATCACTTTGTTTGTGAGATACTGGCGGTCCTAGAGCTGGTATGCAGACACCTATCCTATTATAAATTAACTATATTTGTGGTGAGTTTATTTACACTTGCACTACCACTTGTTTTCATTGTGGGGTCTTACATCCTTATCATTTCATCCCTATTAAAGATCAGGTCTACTGATGGAAGATCCAAAGCTTTCTCCACCTGCGCTTCTCACCTGACCGTTGTCTCTATGTTTTTTGGGACGAGTATCAGCATGTATATGGGGCAAAAAAAAGGTTTCTCTACAAATCTGAAATATATCTCTATTATTTATGGTGTTATTACTCCGGTGTTGAATCCTTTGATATACAGCCTGAGAAATAATGACGTGAAAGAAGCGTTTCAGAAGATATTGACCAAACGTTCCTAAATGGACATGGAAAAGTCAGCCAGCGCTCACAAATGACAATCCTTTCATTCATCCTTTTATTTGATAGCTTTGCAGAACACGAGGTGTAAAGGATTAAAACCGACAGCTTTTACGTCTCTTAAACAGTCATTTTTGTAAAATAATTTATTATTTTATTTTTTTGCATAGAAAATGTTTAATTCACAGAAAAGTGAGGGGAATTCTGCTCTCTTAAACTTAAAGTGACACTACACTCAGGAGTTAAACCTTAAGGCCTCATTCACACCAGACACAGTGCGTTCCAGCACGATCTTGGCCAGAACGCACTCCATCGCAATGTTATGGGGCAGGAGGGGGCATGGCGGTCCGTTGAAGAGAATGGCACCGCAGCCACGCCCTCCGTCCGCAATGCGATTGGCCGCATGGGAACGCAATGCACATTTATCCTGTGGTCTGGTCCGGTCCGAACAAAATAGTGCTTGTAGCATTTTGTTCAGCCTGGACCGCAGGCATAACGTGCCTTGTTTTCCCGTGTGGTCGATCACATTGCGGACCCCTCCTGCCCCACAGCATAGTGAGCCGGTCACAATGTGATGCAGCGTATTCTGGCCAGAATCGGGCCGGAACGCACTGTTTCTGCTGTGAACAAGGCCTTAATATGCACTCAAGTACCTTAACTATGAACAACAATGTACCTTATTTGTGTGTCACTCAGCAGTAGATCCTCCAATCATCTCTGAATTGGTGCTGACACTGTCCTTCCTTCTGGAGGGGGGGCTACTTTTGTTTCCCATGGCCCCTGTGTATGTTGTAAAGTAGTCACCACTCCAAGCTCACTCCTGTGATGGACTACAATCTCATGTTTAGTTTACTCATTTGGATTGAGATTGCAGTCCATACTGGGAGTGAGCTTCTGTGAGCACAGGAGGGGTGCTGTTAGACTGATGATGCTAGACTTTTATGTTCTTGGAGCATTTAGAGTCTAAAGCCAGTTGAACCTCCTGTGTTGACGGGATTTGGGCTTGTTGTGATGGACAAATACAGCGTGCGTTCAGCTGCCTTCTTCTTGCAATTAAGATCAGTATGAGAGATCACTTCTGAGATCATTCACAGTCGATTATCAAGAGCACTTGACTTGCAGTTGACAGTTATCAGCGCTCATGCATGATGTGATAAGAAATAAATTCAAAAATAAGTTTAACATTTTCTAAGCTTTTTAACCCCTTCGTGACGGGAGACGTACACTGTACGTCCCGCCAAGGGACCAAATGACTCGTCACGTACACTGTACGTAATGAGTAATTTGCTGCATTAGAGGGCTGGTAACCGCTGAGAATCAGCGATTACCATTCATTAATGGATGCCTCGGTATAGAGGCATCCATTAATGAAAGGGTTAACCTTTTTCAGACACCTGATACCTTAATATTGGGTGTCTGAGAGTCAAAGCAGAGCGGGCAAACATGCCGGCAAAAGCCGGCATTCTGACAGCTCGTATAGATCTAGAGATATCTCTCTCGGATCGTATACTGGCTTTTTTTTTTTCTTTCACTTTCAGCAATAGACACATAGGGGGTGATTTACTAACCTAAACACACACACGCACCAGGTGCGTGTGCATTTTTACACAGCAAAATGTATTTATCAACCAAACACGAGCAACGTGTCACATTTTCACTCCGTTATTGCGCGTTTTTATGTATTTACGTACGTGCGCGTCATGTAGCATGCACCATAGGCTACACGCCGCTCTAATAGCGGCATGCAAGTCTCTAAAAGCATATTTCCACTAATGCCATATATGGAAAAATCATGCACATGATGCATATATAATGCTGCTTCACAGTTTAGACAAAAATGGTTAGCTCATGCATTTACATTCCTGCATTCATCAACGCAAGCAACACAACATAGAGCTAATTTACACAACATCACCTTGCAATTCATGCAGGGCTTTGCACAACACACCTGCTGGGTGTGTACACACTACAAAGGTGTCTAGATTCCACCAATAGATCATGCTGGGAGGGAACACACTACAGAGGTGTATACTTGTTTGTGGCGTGTTTATAAGGTTAGTAAATCAACCCCATAATGTTTCTATTCCTGAAAGAAGAATGTTTCAGTTTTCTGATGGTTGTTGGAACGATCAGAAAACCTTTAGTGACAGCTGAATCCTGAACTGCTGCAGGATCAGTGTCACTAACTTATTATTGGCTGTTCTGAGGTTTGTAACAGCCTAATAATAACCAAAAATGTATTAATTTATCAAGCAGTAATAGTGAGATTAATTCACAATGACTGCTTGATATAATTAAATAAATACAATAACATTTTTAAACGTTTTTTAAAAATAGTGAAAAGTGTATAAAAAAAATAGTGAAAAGTGTAAAGAAAAAAAAAACAGTGTAAAAAAATAAAAAATAAAAGAGAAATAAATGAATGGTATTTATTGCATGTTTTTAGCTGTGCTGGTTTTGCAAAACATACTACAAATCAAATCAAAACTGGGAAAAAAAGTGTTTTCTTTACATTTTTTCCCCCTCTTTTTTATATTTTATTTGTCCTAAGTGAGGCGTTAGACACACATATGTGATATAAATATGTAGCCCTATCTGTCCTCTAAAAAACAATATATAATATGTGTGGGTGCAATTTGGAAGAAAGTATATTACTGACGTGGAAGAAACGCACAGCAAAAATGTCAAAAGTGTGTCAGTCATTTACGAACAGAAACTAAAAACTAGCTCAGTCATGAAGGGGTTAAAAAGGGAACACAAAATAATACCCACAAGAAGAAAAAAAAAGCATTTTCAAGTAGTTTTCTTGACTTTTTTTTTTTCTAAACAGAATAAAAAATACACAAAAAGCAAACAATACTTACAGGTCTATTCACAGAAGGGTGAAGAGTTTGGAGGAGGGAGGAGGAGTGAACAATCTAGGACAACATCGCTGAGCTGGAAAGTGAGCTGGATTGGAGAATTTTTCCCAAATCAGCTATTTTGGCCCCTAGATTGTTAACTTCTCCGGCCTTCTCCAAACTTTTCACCTTTTTGTGAATAGGCCTGTTAGAGTACAAACAAACAAAAACTCAGGAGCCATTGAAAGCCCTTCAACGTCTTAAAAACACCAGAATCTGCCACAATTTACTATTCCCTTTTACTTCAATGCATTTTGAAGAAGTGAAAATGCATAGAAGTGTTTTCAGGTATAGGAAGCACGTGACTCACTTCCCTACTGCTCCGGCAACACCCAAGGGCAGGTGACACGGGCTCACCCCATGCACTAAGTACCAGCTGGTTTTCACCACAGCTCCTAAGGGTGGAGATGGGCTGCGAGCCCTAGTGGCCCATTGAGCTCTTTGCTGGAGCCTGGTACTCAGGATTACCCCACCAAGGGGTGAGCAGGGACAGGAAGGCTACAGTGTGGACATTCTGCATTCAGAAAATATATAATGTTGGGGGGTTTTACGTCATTTTCAGGCCTAAAATGTGGAATATAACATGGGTGCAAAAAATTTAAAAAGGGCCTCAGTTAAAGTAATTATATAATATTAATACCATCCTGTGCTGTTAAATGTAAATTGATTAGTATGAGGAACCAGACATTCCTGAAATAATTCATCTTGGTTGGCCTCTCTCAAAACCCAGAGATGGTGCTTCCGCTGGCATGGAGCCGGCTTCCTGGGCAATCAGGAAGCTGGGTGGAGGGTAATGACACATGTTGTTTAGCTGGCTTGATTGTGATTAGGCAGGAAACCAGCTTCTCAAGCAATGACCTGCTTCCTGGATTGCTGATTGCTGATTGGATGGGAAGCCAGCTTTCAAGCCAATCAGCATACTACTGCAGGTAGCTGAAATATTTGCACTTCTTAAATAAGTTATACTATCTACAAGGAGTGGGGTTTATTTATTTACAGAGCACCGACAATTGACACAGCACTTTACATAGTTGCATTCAGATCAGTCCCTACCCTCAAGTAGCTTACAATCTAAGGTCCCTATGTCACATGCATCCCTATCTTGCATGCATACATAGAGGGCCAACTTAGAGAGTAGCCAATTAACCTAGCAGCATGTCTTTGGAATGTGGGAGGAAACCTGAGTACCTGGTGGAAACCCACACAAGCACAGGGAGGACATGCAAACTCCTTGCAGTTAGTGACCTGGCTGGGATTCGAACCGGGGACCCCCAGCGCTGCAAGGCAGAAGTGCTAACCACTACGTCACTGTGCTGCCCATGTTGCTGTGTTAGTGGGGTCTGAACCCATGAGGCAATACATCAATGACTTAACCACTCGGCCATCCTGGTGCTCCCATGCGTGCTCTCTGTGACATGGAAGTAACATGTCACTGAAAAAGATTTGTGTTATGAATAAAACACAGCTGAACTGATAAATGACAACTACTACTTCTGCTCTATGACAAGCCCTGTCAGTGTGTCTTTGGCCTATATCACTAGTGCAGAGACCCATATATTACATTTTTATTTTCAGGTTTAGATATCCTTTAAACATTATATTTGTCACACGTAATTGTATAAAATAAGCACAATGTTTTAAAGACGGAATGATAAAGTATCTGGGGGGTGCACATGGACAGAACAATATGGAACAATATGGAAAGCAATACAAACGTCCCTCAGTGCGAGGCTGTAACCAATGCCAACAGGTAAGTGGGCACCTGGGTGTGTGAGTGGAGGGCGCGGTTTCACTATCACTGTACCTTTAGAAAGCGCTGAATGGTGGACATGTATTTCTGGAGGGCTCATTATAAACAGCAGTTCAGAAAACACACATGGACGGCCTGTGTTCTGATCCATCATTGGACCACAGGCACAATGTATAGAGCTGATTAGAGTTACTCTGTACCTTTTAATTGCTGCGATAACCCGATCTGTATGACCTCCCGCTGTATACGACCCGTACATTAATAATGCGCTATATCCAGGGCACCATTACCAAGCTCCACTCACCCATCCTGGTGCCCCATGCAATAGGTGTAATGACACAGGTATTACATT